TATTATTTTAAATGTTAAAAAATTTAATTACAGTATGGAACCGAACAGAACCGAACCGAACCGAAATCGAACGGTTCCAAAATTATATTTGAAACCGACGGTTCCATTTACTAAATACCCGAAAATTTCTGGAACAAAAAAAAAATCGAACCGAACCAACCCGCGCCCACCTCTAGGTGTGATATGCAGTTTATTCCCATTTCCAACCATGACTTTTTCCTTACCAATGTATTCATTTGCTGAGGTGATGTTCTCCTTTTTTGCTGTAATGTGGTTGGTGGCTCCTGCGTCAACAAACCAGGTCGGATCATTAACCATACTTGGTGAGGCAACAAGAGCTGTTGGTGAGGAGTTATAGCTGAACTTCTGGCCTGGTGGTGTGTCTGAGTACTTTTCATCATACATAAAGTGACGATGTTTGCCTTGTGTACAATCTTACCACATACTTGACATGTAGGTCTATCACTGCCACCTGAGTTTTCTCCTCTATTCCTGCCTCTTCTTCCACCTCTGAAGTTATTGTAATTTGTGAATCTTCCACCAGAGTTTGGTCTATAGGATCTGATATGATGATAGTTGGTATTTGATTTTTGAGACAGGTTCGTTTGATCAAGATTGATTCAAGCCAATTCATTTCTGATTGTGTTGAGATGTTCAAGTCTACTTTCAAAGGTCACAAGAGTTGATTGCAGCTCTCCCTAAGTGATGTGATCTCTGCTATTGATTTGGACAACAATTGGTATATATTTTTCATCCAATCCTGCCAAAACTTAGGTAACTAGATCAGAATGACGAACTATTTTGCCAGCAATTTTCAGGTTGTCAGCAAGCAATTTTACTTTGTTCAAATACTGATCAATGCTCCTGGTTCCCCTTCTGGACTTTTGGAGTTCATCAGTGAGGAAGGTGGTCCTTGACCTGTTTTGGACTCCATAACTTTCCTTAATTGCTGTCCAGATTTCAATGGAGTTGCTGGCTCCCATAACTCTCATGGCTATGTCTAATGTCATCGATGAGTAAAGTCATCCCATCAATAATTGGTCAGTTGACATCCATTGATTAAACTCATGATTTTTTACCATTTCAACACTTGTTCATGCTTCGTCAGTGACCTGAGTTGCTGTAAATTCCGGAGGGCACTCCTTTGTCCCCAGAATATAACCTTCGAGGTTGTGCCCACGAATAATGGGTAGGATCATATTTTGTCACAGTATGTAATTGTTCTTATCCGACTTGACTGATATGGTTTGAGTCAGATTAACCCCTAAATGGTTAGAGATGGTTGCTTCCTTGTATTGGAGCAACTGTGCTACTTGAGATTGACACAGGAGTGGAGTTGGGATTTGTATTTAGTGGTGTGCTACCGACGTTAGCCATGGTCGTGTGCTCTGATACCAAGTTAGAAAAGAAGAAGTTGAGAAGAATAATTTTCTACTGAATATTATTGCTGAAGTTGTATACAATATATAGTGTACAATGAACATTCTAGATTGGAATCTATTTACAACAAGAAAACAAACACCAGAATTCTGGTGTAACAGAAATAAGGCAGCAAGGACAAGTAGTTGAATTGTAGCACGTATAGGCATGATGTCCAGCTGATGTGGAGGTTGAGCTGATGTGGAATTAATTCTTTACATGACTACACATAAGACGAAGTGGTACTTTCGAGAGGAGGTGCCTCTTCTTCCTGCAGTGCATTTTCGAGGTAGCTGATATCTCTTATAAATGGAATCTTTTACAAACACTACATATGCTAAAAGATACTTTGTACAAAAAATACTCGACGTATTTGATAAATTACCAGCTTGTAGCAGATATGTTCATCATTTTTTTCAGTTGCCTTTATGATATAAGATGGCAGTTTTTCAACTTCCATTAGGCGACCACAAATCTATGATAGCTGATATTGACATAGTTTGACTAATGAACCGTTAAAGTGAAGTTACGTGTCAAACGTTCAATAGACGTCTCATCTTCTATCTAGATATAAAGGTTCACAATTGTGCCTCCATAGGTAAAGCTTCATTCACGCAAGGCAAAGGTGATCTCAACTCACATTGCAAAGAATATGTATTCTGTCTGCAAACTCGACACCTATATTCACGTTTGTTGTGTCTCTCCCACGTCTAAAATATTAATGTATCCGTTAGATTTGAGGGTCAGAGTGCCGCATGATCGTCGAACCTGCTGAAACTACAATCACAAGTAACTTAATGTAATTGTCTAAGTATGTCGTTAACATACAACTGAAATGAGTGAGGAGTTGAAATTTGATGACCGTGTAACAGTGTCAAATTTCGAGGTCAACCTGAATCAAGGCATCGTACGTAACTTAAAGGAGTTTTCTCCACTAAGCTAATAGCTCGTCAGTGGGGATAGCTATGCCAAAATACCACGGGAGAACTGATAAAGTTAAATGGGGGATAAAAAAAAACGAGAATACGTTAAATGCTTCAAAATTATCTTCATTAGTAACAATACAAAGCAAAGGGTGAATCAGATTCACGTGTTGAAGTGGGAATGCATGCCGGTCATAAAGGGACAGACGGTCCTGATATAGTGGGGCCCTCTCAACTAAAGATCTAATTTCTCTTTCTCAATTATTTTTGTGTCACCTCCTCATTAACCGGGGCCCACTGCACAATAAAATTATTTATTAAAAATGATGAATTTGGAGACATTTATAAATTGGGTGGCCGGTCAGTTGGACAAATCACCTGTCAAATTTTTAAATGACTGACTAATCCAATTTGATTTATGTTAGCCACCCAAGAAATCAATCTTTAAAAAAAAAAAAAAAAA